CCTGGATCCATCCCGCCGTGTTTCCCGGCAGTGCCGTGCCCGTCCTGGATCCATCCCGCCGTGTTTCCCGGCAGTGCCGTGCCCTGGCACAAAGGCCCCTCCAGGCCGTGCTGGGCAGACATGGCTCGGGCCCCGCATAAAGCCCTTTTCAGCCGCCCAGAAAAGCCCCTGGCACCCGGCCCTGGCTCTCACCACTCCCTGCCATGGGACAACAGGGGCAAAAGATCCCCCAAACTCAGTGCATATGTGGCTGGTGACATGGTCGAAACACACAGCTATGGTGGGATAAGTCCCCTCTGGATCTGGGATGGGGACAGGTGTCCTGAGTCCTGTCCAGGCTCCAGGGCCACCAGCCAGTGCTTCCACAGATCCAGTGGGATGGGAAGGACTTTGAAGGCTTCAGCCACTTAATTAACACCTGGCCTTAATTAACAGCCTGGAGTGATGGGCTGCTCATGCCAGGGCTTGTCCTTGGGGATGTGATATGGGGAGGATACATACATGTGTGTGCTCACATGTGTGTGTGTGTGCCCGTGTGTGTGCCCATGTGTACACGTGTGTGCCCACGTGTGGGTGTGCCTGCGTGTGCACGGTGGGGTGGCTCTGTGTGTGTGTGTGCTGTGGGTTCATGTAAGGGTAACTGGGCATGTGCCACTCTGGGCATGTGTGTGCACGTGCACACGTGTGTTGGTCTGGCTGTGCCTGTGTGTGCACAGCAGGGTGGTTGTGCCTGTGCACGCTGTGTGTGTGTGGAAGGGGAGCTGCGTGTGCACAGCTCTGGGTGTGTCCCGTGTGTGTGTGTGCACACGTGTTCAGGGAAAGCAGCACACGTGTGTACCTGCACACTGTGTGTGTCCCCACGTGTGTGCCAGGCGGGCACGTGTGTGCCTTGCACACGGGGTGTGTGTTTGTGGACACGGACAAACATGTGTGTGTGTCTCTGGAGGTGTCTGTGTGCACGTGTGTGCCTGTGGGCTGCACACACATATGAGTGGAGATGCAGGTGACTCCACACATGTATATGTAGATCTCACA